TCCACCATAATTGTACCCAAAAGGCCTTAATAACCTTACAAGTCCACCACATATGAAAAAAGGTTGCATCTGGATGACTACACCTCCAACACTTGGATTCATAATTCAAATAGATACGAGACATAGTTGAAGGATCCAAGTGCCATCTATAAAACATCTTATAAAAATTTTCACGTAAATTTTGAGCTTGCGTAAACTTGACATTTCTCACCCAGAGTGGTCAATAAAGGCTTGTTCTTTATTATTTTAGCAAGTAGAGTGGTGCATTTTTAGTGCAATGCATATTCCATACTTTGCACTATTAAACACCCAAAAGATGCCAAGGAAGCTTTTAAACTGTTCACATCAAGTTATAATACAAACGTTGTATGACTTTTAAAGCTTAGTCTTTCAAATAACCAATTTCACCTTCCAAATTAAGACTGGAATTACGAAAAAAAAGTATAGAGATAGTTGTGTAGACTGCAGAGCAAACCAAGCAGAAGAATTAAAAAGCCTAATCCTGCTCTGACTTCTGAATCTGTATCAAATATACAGTATTTAAAAAAATACTGTTCAACAGCCAGAGCTGCAAAATTCAGAATTAGAGGATTAGTTTTATTAAAATGTGGCTATGAGAATACCCATTTCCATACTGAGAGCAAATGTGCTGTTAGGAGTCTCTATACATTATGTATATTATTCTTCAAGGTAGATCAATAACTCTTTGCTGCTTTAACTCTTTGTAGATTGACTAGATCTGAATGTTCTGTATCTGAAAAAAGGAATTCAATATTGTATTTTTCCCCAAAACAAATATTCAGTTTAGCTCAGCATTAAATTATAAGCAGGAGTTGGAAATGCCTCACAGTAAACAAAACGAAGAGAAGGACGAGGGGGGACATGATAGCAGTGTTCCAATATCTCAGGGGCTGCCACAAAGAAGAGGGAGTCAAGCTATTCTCCAAGGCGCCTGAAGGCAGGACGAGAAGCAATGGGTGGAAACTGATCAAGGAGAGAAGCAACTTAGAACTAAGGAGAAACTTCCTGACAGTTAGAACAATTAACCAATGGAAAAATCTGCCTCCAGAAGTGGTGAATGCTCCAACACTGGAAGTTTTTAAGAAGAGACTGGACAGCCATTTGTCTGAAATGGTGTAGGGTTCCTGCCTGGGCAGGGGGTTGGACTCGATGACCTCCAAGGTCCCTTCCAACTTTATTATTATTATTATTATTATTATTATTATTATTATTATTATTATTATTATTATTATTATTATTATTATTATTATTCCATCACACAGAACATTTTTGTGCATTCATCAGTATTTCTTGACACACCAGTCACGTTACAATCGATGAATGGGAATCAGTATAGTCATTTTTTTTGTAAAGTGAAGAGGATGGGAAGGAATTGTGACATGTGATTTTCAAAAATGTCTTTCTGAAGAACCTCATAGGTCCAAAGTGTCCTTTCCTGGAGCACTAGCAAGATAGAACCCTCATGGCAAATGAAGACAAGTGTATCAATCATAGATTTTTTAAAATAGATCTTCCTTGTCTTTTCTCATCAACTGAACTGTACCCACTCTTTGCTTTGATTCTTGCATTGGTTGCGAAAATATTCCAGATTAGTTTCAGGCAGAAGGACAAATTTGCTACAAGCATTACAGATTATAGCTGCAGGCACCTGTAAATTTCATTTTCCCCCCCTTAGCTTACCACCTATGGAAAGGCTTTTTCCTCCCCATCTCTCAGGTTTTTAGATTAGCCAAGTAAAAACTGTTGATTTAGAAGAACAAACTGTTAGAGATTCCTCTTAAACTCTTTAAGGCAAACTAGCTCTCCCTGTTCATTCACTTGGTGAGCTCACTCCCTTGAACAAGCTGCCTTATAAGGTGGTGTGTGATAGAAAATGTTAACTTTTCCCCTCTTCCTAAACAAGACAGCTTAAAGGGAATACTTTACTAAGAAAAGAATAGCTGAATACAGAAGGAATATCAGATCTGTTTCAGGCATTAGGGTAAACAGTGTTTATAATGATATATATGAGCCTGGAGTTTGCAGACTCCCATTCCTCTCCTGCTACTTGCAAATAATTTTGGTTTCCAATATGCTTGAAATTAGAAAGACCAAATAAAGAAATGTTCTAGAATAGTAAACCACAGTTTGGTGTTATCTTTCCCTAAGCAATAGTTAAGAATGATCTGTTTTTCTATATTCAAGTATAGGGTAACTGCATCCAGTTGAAGCTGTTAGGAAAAGTTCTCAGTGTCTTTTTCATGATAATCCTACAATTTAAACAGAGAGCTCACAAACTGATGCTGAGGGATCTAATCCAGCAAGTTCTTGTTGGATCCAAAGAATCTGCCTTCCCTTCTTGCTGGCATGCCCTGAAATGATTCTGGATGATAGCAAAAGAATCACTTTAAAGTAGAAGTTAGGAAATAGAATACTTGGAATGCTTCCACATCATGGTTCCCAAGATGGATTTTGATCCACAGAAGCTGGCCAATAAAAATTAACCAATGAATGACATATTTGATGTGCTAGGTTTTTTATTGTCAATTTTCTATCACTTAGATATGTTTTAATGCATATTTTGGCATTGTTGTGCCCCACCCAGAGTCCATCAGGACAAGTTATCAAGTACCCAGAGATCCGGGTGATTCCGGATCTCCCCTCCTTCCGCCGCGCCCTCAAGACATGGCTATTTAAGTTAGCAGGACTGGCCTAAGGGTTATTTTAATTTGGTTTTAATATTTCATTTTAATTAATATTTTAAATTTTGTATTTCTGCATTCAAGTGTTTGTTTTAAATGGTTGTAAGCCGCCCTGAGTCCGCGGGGAGAAGGGCGGGGTAGAAATACAAGAAATAAATAAATAAATAAATAAATAAATAAATAAATAAATAAAGTACTGTGTGGATAAATAAATAATAAAATGAACAATATTCTATGCAAACAAATGCAAGGAGAGAAAATCAAGATGGAAGGAGATTGTGCATGATTAAATATATATCTATATGTGACATGAACCAATATATTGTAATATAATGGAGGACAGAGTAAAAGATGGACATTTGGGGATCAACAAACACTTAATGTATGTTTCCAGCCCAACTTCAGAGGGCTGTTGCCTGCATTCATTCTTTTTTACAGTAGGGGGTTTACAACTGCACAACTCTTCAGTGTAGCCATTACCATTGTTCTTCTACCAGAATAGAGTAGTGACTGTTCTGTCACCTAAATGGAAAGGCCTTTACCTCAACAGATATTTTTCCAGGAATGTCAAGGAAGTAAGTCAACAAGGAGACCTGTGGTGTTGGAGTTACTGTGATGACCATGGCACAATTCAGGATTATGTGTACCTTCTTCTCAGTCTGTGATAGTGTCCACTTTTCTCTACTACAGCGGTTCTCAACCTGTGGGTCGTGACCCCTTTGGGGGTCGAACGACCTTTTCACAGGGGTCACCTAAGATCATCGGAAAACATATATTTCCGATGGTCTTAGGAAGCTGTCTTGCTTTCAACTCCCCCTAAAATTCTTCATTCAGGCAGGCTTCCAGAGTTCGGCCAGCAGGATGCTGGTAACCCCTCCCCCGTCCTGCTGCCTCCCACGGCATTGTGCCGCTCCGCGTCCCGCGCCTCAAGCCTCTGTGGCACAGAACCGCTGGCATGGTCCCCAATGGCCGCTGACGCGCTCCCCGCTGCCGGCGACCATGCAAGCCCTGGAAATTTTATGGTTGGGGGTCACCACAACATGAGGAACTGTATTAAAGGGTCGCGGCATTAGGAAGGTTGAGAACCACTGCTCTACTAGATAAGGCAAGGCCTTTGTTCCTTTGGTAGCTGTGAAAGGAAATGTGCTTTCCCCATAATTGCAACTCTGAAAAAAAAAGCTACAGGACTTTCTAAAAAGCTTTTCAGAGTATAGATCCATATGCAATATGGGAATTGTTTTAAAAAATGAGGCATTCCCAGGTGGTTCTCCCTCTCACTCACACAGCCTCCATGTGGCTTTTTCTCTTGGCACCACTAGCTACTTTAGTGTGTGGGTGCAGTAATATTTAAAATATAAATTGCAATTTGTGGAGGAAGGGAATGAGCTGATTAGCACTATGCTGTGTTGAGAGATATTTATACCTTCCTTTCATACAAAAAATTGAGAGTTTATTTGGTGTGGTGATTAAGAGTGGTGCAGCTCATTAGAGAAGCCAAACTTCAAATCCTGGTTGAGCTATACAATTCATTGTCATTCAGGTGGCCACTCTCTCACTCGGTTATTTTGAGGTTAAGAGGAGATGGAAGGAAATACACATCAGTTTTAATTCCTTTTAATTGTATTTTTCTTTCACCTTATTTGCTTTTCCTGGAGAATAATTATGTGGTCACTAAGAATCAATATTGACTTGATGGCCCATAATTACTTAGCTCAGTGTGGTTTTTCTTATTGTTCTTCCAACTTGGAAAGTTTTGGCCCTGTTCATTTGACAGGTGCAGGTCTGCAGGACCCACAAAATAGATACAGTCAGGCTTTCTGAAATACATTTTGAACTTATTCCCTGGCATTCTTTCCTTCGGTCTCTCTCATACTAGCCTCCTTTCCTAAAACATTTCTGCTGTTAAACAAAAGATGACTTCTACATCACTGAATAATGAAAAGAAGAAGTAATTAAAACAACAATGGTATCAAGCAATTTATAAATATGGCTACTGTGGATGCAGAAACTTTTGCTGTAAAGTAACTTTTGCATTAGTGAACAATGAAGAAGTGCTGATTAAAACAACTGCTACTCAGCGCAACCTATCAATCTGATAGTTATGAATGGAGATATAGCTCCTCTAAGTTCTTAATGGAATAGAATTTCTGGCCAAGTGGCAGCTTCTAATAGCTTTTACATTTCCATTTGCTGATCAGTAGCTGTAGCATTTCATCAGCATGCCCTTTTATGATAGAAATAAAGGAGATATGTCCTTCAGGCAACCAGAAACATCGGAGTGTTATCTGCGGACTGGAAGGAACCAGCACGTACTTCTGTTCCCATTTCTCTCAGACATTCTAAAAAGCCTCTTCCACCTTAATGGCAATTTACTCATAGTTTATTGTGAGATAAAGCTCCGTGCCCAGCCATTTTTTTCAGACCGCAGGACACTCCTGCAAAATCTTCACTAAGTGAGTGTGTCTCTTTCAGGCCAGATAAAAATTAATTTGAACAGAAATTGTGGTTTTAAAATGTTCATTAAGCATCACCATGCAAGAACCCATTTAAAAGAAAAGAGCCCTAGTTTTAGAACATTCTGTATGTTTAAATACCAGCCGAGTGAAATATTGCCTTATCACTGTTTTCCTGCATTAATGTGTTACAGGCTGGACTGAAAAATTAAAAAAAAACAAAACAGGAAGAAGCCAATAGCAAAGCACTTATATACCGGTACTATTACGAAGAAATCTGCATGGACACATTCATAAAATCACCAAGAGCTCAGTCAATTCAAATTTTAATACAAAATAGAACATTCCTCAAATTACAATACATAAACTGGGATGCCACAACAACAGAGAGCAGACAAAGAAAACTGATTATGTGCCATCGAGTCAGCGTTGACTCTGGGTGACTGCATTGCTAGATTTCCTCCATAATAATCTATCAGTAATGTTACAGGCCTTCCATCAGTGCCCGGACTGCACTGTGACTGTACATCCACCTTGCTGCTAGTTATATCCTTCTTTCCTTTCCCAGCATTAGAGCCTTCTCCAGAGAGTGAGATCTTCATATAGTGTGTCTGAAGTAAGACGATTTGAGCCTGATCATTTGTACTTCAAGTGGGTTGATTTGATCAATGATCCATTTGTTTGTTTTCTTGACTGTCCAAGATATTCTCGGGAGTCTTCTCAAACACCAGATTTCCTGTCCAGCTTTTCAAAGTCTGTGTTTCATTTTCAATCCATAAAATGTCACAGGGAATACCATGGCTTGCACTGTTCTGATCTTTGCAGGTGTAGACACCTCACTGTATCTGAATGTCTTTTCCAAGACCTTCATAGTTTGGACTGCTAAGTTAATCTAGTCTGTTGTTTTCTGGTTCCTTTACTGTTGATGGTTGATCCTAAAAGGCAGAAGCATTCAACCACTTCAATATCCTCATTATCAATTCCAAGACAAAGAAAATAACAGTGTGCATAATCCAATAGAAACATCTTAAAACAGCTTTTTAAAAAATCACAGTTCATAGCTAAATATACCATGGAATCTTAAAAAAAAGTATATAAACAATATGTGATCACCACATATGCTGATTAATATCTCTGCAGTGCAATAAGACTAAAAAAATTATAAATGTTTTATATAAAAACTAACACAAACTAATAAAAAAGCAGAAAAAAGAAAAGAGTGTAGAAGTATTAAGAAAAAAATAAAAGAAGCTTCCAATTTTCTTTGTAGCAATTATAAGTACAGTTACAAAATTATCTTACTCTGTGATTATAAAAGAAAGCTCACTCTTTTCTATTATCCAGTTTTTTTCTAAATCATCAAAACCACAAATCATAAGTGCATTTTTCCATTTTGTGCAAAAGGCTTATTAGGCTAAGACAAAATTCCTCACCTGTTGCTATCTTATCTTATCCAAGCAGTGGGCCTTTCTCTTCCTTAGTTTTTATCACTAACTCGGCAATAAAAATCCTTTTTACTGCTTTTATCTTTTTTGCAAGTCTAAATTCTATTTGTGCTTTATCTTTTCTGGGTTACTTTCTGCATATACCAGCTACTTGCTAGTATGCCTTCTTGGAAACTTCATCCATCTTTCAGATCCTTTTTAAAATAACTTTTATTAAACTTTACATTATACGGATAAAAATACAAAATACAAGAGATTAAAAAATAAAAAAGAAATGCAGAAAAAAAGAAAAAGGTAACATCCCCCTTTGTCCCAGAAAGTATAGTACAGATAACTTTAATAACATCACCATCTCTTAAAATACAATAAATCATCTCTTCATCCCATGTCCTACTCCATTTTCTATAAATAAAATTGTAAAGCTTCATTACTTCATCCTAATCAGCAAAAGCATCCATCTTTCATGTCCAATACATGTTCTTTTTCATTTTTAGCTGAGTCAAAAGATCCCTATGCATTGACTGATTGTCCTATTTTTGAGACATTGCCAATTCTCCTATATTCCATTCAACCTGAAGATTTCGGTCCATAAAATCTCACTTGCTACTTCTAAACCTGTTGGATTTGGCTCTACATGTATGAGACTGTTTCAGTTTCTCTTTCCTTTTCCCAAAGTTTTCATCTCTTCAGTCTTGTTATCCCTTATTGGCTCAGATCTAGCCAATCCCTTTATTTGTTCTTTAATCTTTTGGAAAATGAAACAGCAATAGTGCTGAGGAATTTGGAAAGCCTTGTTGTCATGGCTTTCAATTTGTTATCCAGATAGTTCAATTCTTCCATTATTATCCCTTCCTAAAAGTGATGCAGTCTGTTCCAGGATGGCAGCATCCAGGAATTCTCACTGCTTCATCCTTTATTTCTTGCATTTCACTTGATGAGCTTCACCAAGTTTTAATAATGCTTCCTATATTTTCACTGTTTGTTCCTACAATACTTTATTTTTCTATATTTTTCTGAATATTGGACCATAACATCACTGGAATACGTCTGGAAAGCAACGTATTAGAGAAAGCTGATTTAATATATCAAATGGCTATATCAAAAGATCCAATGCAATATATTGGATTAGCCACCAAAAGTCTTCACATTTCTGACCAAGAGGATATGGGTCACATTTATAATCAGAGCAGACTACAGAAGCTGTCCTTCCAGATCGTTGTTTCTACAGATTTTACTAAAATTGACTAAAGTTTTCAGAAACAATCGACTCATTTTCAATGATCTATAGATACCATAAGTGAAAAAAAGATTACATTTTAAGTAGTAGTATCTATAAATGCAGTGGTGAAGATATTGACTCTTAAAATCTAGAGGAGAAGTGAAATATTGATCAGACATTGCAGACTGATTTGAAGTAACTTCTGTTTCCTTGCTTTTAAGGTGACTGTTGGTTATTGGCTGCCATTGGTTCCCTGACTCTCAATGAGGAACTCTTACATCGGGTTGTACCCCATGGACAGAGCTTCCAGGAGGACTATGCGGGTATTTTCCATTTTCAGGTAAGGCATGCATTTTGCTACAGGAAGTGATTCATAGTGAGACCTTGTATTAGCAATAGCAATAGCACTTCATAGTTCTTTACAACCCTCTCTAAGCGGTTTACAGAGTCAGCATATTGCCCCCAACAATCTGAATCCTCATTTTACCAATCTCGGAAGGATGGAAGGCTGAATCAATCTTGAGCCTGGTGAGACTCGAGCTGCCAAACTGCTGGCAGCTGGCAGTCAGCAGAAGTTGCCTGCAGTACTGCATTCTAACCACTGCGCCGCCAGAGCTGAGTGCAGTTACAGAACGAAAGAAGTGCAGTTCAGGATCATGTTTTATTCCAACCTAACTATTCTTACTTTGCTCAAACCAAGCCTAGCTATAAATTCATTATTCCTTTCTTTTTTTATTCCTCAGATATGGCAATTTGGCGAATGGGTAGATATAGTAATAGATGACAGATTACCAACCAAAGATGGAGAACTTGTGTTTGTGCACTCGGCTGAGTGTCAAGAGTTTTGGAGTGCTCTGCTGGAAAAAGCTTATGCTAAGTAAGTATTGCTGTTGTTTAGGTCATTAGATTGCTGAAGTAAAGGTGGATGCTTGCTCTCTCCAGAAAACTCTGCTTTGGATTTGTTTCTTTGCTATTATACTTCCAACCTCCTGTATCATTGACAAGGTGTGCAGATATCCTCCTAATTCTGAATGTATTGTTTGCTACACAGGTTGAATGGCTCTTATGAAGCCCTGTCAGGGGGCAGCACCACCGAAGGTTTTGAAGATTTCACAGGTGGTGTGGCAGAAATGTATGATCTTAAGAAACCACCACGCAATTTATCCAAAATCATTTGCAAGGCCCTTGAGAGAGGATCTTTGCTTGGCTGTTCCATTGATGTAAGATATGCTCCTGAGAGGGGTTTATGAAATGCTTGAGTCGGGGAATATTAAAAGTCTTGGAGTGCTTCCTTTATTTGGTTTTAATTTTTAGATGCCATTAGGAAGATTCAGTAAGTATAGGTTTATCGGAGTTGAACAGTTGATTGGGCTTATGTTGTGTGAAGTGGGGCATCGCAAAGGTTAGATTACAGAGTTTCTTCTCCATGACACTTTGGTTGGTGTTGTAATATGATATAAGAGTCTTCTGAAAATCATTGTTCAGACAAAGATATTCCAAGCTTTCAGCTTTTACTTTTTTAAGTAAGAAAAGAATATCACTTTCAAATATGAAAAACAAGAGAATACGTATATGTATTATACAGGGAATGGAACCATAATTGATTAATCATACTCTGAGCTTGGATCCTGGATTTGATTTATTTGCACATTGCAAAGCTTGGGACTTTCTGGGCTAATTTTAAATATGAAGTTGGTAAAAATAAAGTCAGATTTTACATACAAATACATATAAGTCTAAGCAAAAGAGATATTGTCCACAGTGTGTGGTTATCTGTATATCTGAGTTGATTTTTTTTTTCCTTTTTCTTGTTCAACTTGTTTGTGAAGGAAAAAAGTACAGGATAGACTAAGGAAACATTTCCAAATATGTTATGGAACATTTAGAGACTAATCAGTTATTTTGGTATTAATGGCTTTTTCAGCAAGCGGGACTGACCTAGGGTGAATTTTAAATAGGGATAATTTTTAATGNTTTTTAATAAGAGACACAGCTACAAATATTTGGTTTTTAATTGGCTTTTATTGGGGAAATGTGCTATGTTGTTTTAATATGCTGTGAGCCGCCCTGAGTCCCGTGGGGAGAAGGGCGGCATATAAGTCAATGTATTAAATTAAATTAAATTAAATGTCATCCACTTTCTTCTGAATGCACTAGCAGACTTGCAACTGAATGCTCACTTTTATGTGTGCATACACGCGTGTGCGTCTTTTGAGTCAATGTTGATTCATTTTAACTGCCTGAACAAGTCCCTGCAGTTTTTGTGGCAAGGTTTTTCGAAATTACTTTGCCATTGCCTGCTTCCTATGGGTGAGAAAAAAATGACTGGCTTAAGGTCACCCAGCTGGCTTTGTGTTTAAGGCAGGACTAAAACTCACAGTCTCCCAGTGTCTAGCCTAGTGCCTTAAGCATTACACCAGACTGATTCTCTGAATATTCACTGTCACTTCAATATAATCAAATCTTTTAAAAGATTTTAAGCTGTGGATTGCTTCTTGTATATTTAATAGCTCATGTTACCCACAATAAAAGATGACGTATTGATATTCTTTGAAGGTTAAGGAGCATAACCAGGAAAAAGAATACAATGTTCTGGTTATGATATATGAACTTAAGAGAACTTGAAGCGCTTGCTAGAGCAAATCCAGAGGGCTAAACCCAGCATCAGCAATGAAGCAGAAGTCTGTTTCAGTACTCTTAATTTTATTCCCCAAAACTGAACTAAACATTGTCCAATTTACTTGAACACTATTGCCTTCCATCAGAAAGATGGTTAAATGATGAAAGAGATAAAATTACATGGTCTACAAGACCTGGACCTAAGACCTAAGAATTAGGATGAGCTGGTTGTGCTCAGGTATCACCTGGAATGCAGTACAAGGTTGGAAGAAGTTTCTGCAACAACCCAACTTTGCATATGTATTTTGCTTTGGACCATGAATGATGCCAACTGAACAAAGCAGACCAGACTGAGAAATCAATGCCACATAGGCCAGGATGACTTTAATACAATAACAGAATATTGAAAGTCTGGATGTTCTATCCTCTCCTTCACTTTATCTTTCTGTGAACTAGTAGGACATGTCTGAGATGTTTCCTTAAGTTGTTTTCTTGGTCTGGGCTCAAACCCCACTTATCCAGAAACAGCTCTTCTTCATCCCTCAAGGCCATTCCTTATGCCCATCTACAAAAGTCTATTCTAAAACTCAGCCATTACTTTGGAATCTTGGTTCTTGGGCAGTTCTTCATCTACAGACTGTACTAAAGTTATCTCCCAGATTGATAAGTTGTATTGCTCCTGCTGGTTCTGTGGTCTTTAATTTCATGCCATCTGATTCTAGCTGGAGGGACCAGGACGCCTAACTTATTATGCAATGTAGTATTTTTTTTTCCTTTTTCTCAGATTACAAGTGCATTTGACATGGAAGCAGTTACCTTCAAGAAACTAGTGAAGGGTCATGCCTACTCAGTCACAGGATTTAAAGGGGTAAGTTTCTTTTTGTGGAGTTATGAATATCGATTCAAGGATTTAATTACTTGTGTACATAGCCTAATGTCTCAAATTTGACAGGTGGAGTATCGTGGCCGTCAAGAAGAGCTAATTCGCATAAGGAATCCCTGGGGTCAGGTCGAATGGACTGGCGCATGGAGTGATAGGTGAATCATAGAACCGTAGAGTTAGAATGTCCTTTAGACACATCAAGTCCAACTTCTGCTCAGTGCAGGATTCACCAGAGCATCTTTGACCAATGACCATGTTTGAAAGTTCATAGTAAAGAACACACCACTTCATTTGGCAGCTGATAACTGGAAATGCTACCTGAAAGCTAGCCTTATTCCTTGAAATTTTAACTTTTAGTGGTGCCTCTGCCCTTTGGGGCAATAAAGAGTAAATCTGTTCCTTCTGTTTGATAACCTCACACTTATATGAAGACCCTGGTCATATCTCCCTTCAGTTTATGTTGGCTAAACCTACCCATTTCCTTTAACTGTTACACATAGAATTTGTTTCCCAGATCATTCACCATCCTGGTAATCCTTCCCTGAATTTGCTTTAAATGGGATCTGATTAGAGTAGAGTGGAACAATTACTTCTTATGATCTGGTTTCAGTTCATGCTTCACTAGCACCATCACCCCACAAGGTAGCATTTGCCTTTTTTAATACTGCACCACACTGCCGGCTCACATTTAATTTACAGACAATAAGTACAGCCAAATCCCTTCACATGCACTACAGCCAAACCATATCTTCTCCATCCTAGATGAACAATTTTTCCTACCTACAAGTAGAACTTTTTCATTTTTCATATCATCATATCAATTTCAGTTCACTATTCCAGCCTGTCTGGATGCTTTGGGATCTTTTTTCATCTAAAGTATTAATCAGCCTTCCTAATTTTGTGTCATCTGCAGACTTTGTAAATGTCTGCTTAACACACCCATACAAGTCATGAGAGTGACATGGTCCTATTATGTTATTTCCAGTCCAATGGTCTCTGATACAAGCAGTTTGTATATACGGTTGTAAATTTTAAAGAAATCTTTTACAGTAGTGAGTCTTGAATGACATTGATTCTTTGGGCAAGAATCTTTTCCAATTCTATTTGAAAATGCCCAGAATTGACTGATTTTTTTTTCTCCTTACAAAATGTATATTATATCACTGAGCTTGTAACTATAAAGTAGCCCTTGGCTGTTCTTTAGCAACAACATTCCCAGCTAAAATTGAAAGTAGTGCAACAGTACAGGGAAAATAGCATAACTGCCTTTTTGCTGCCATTTTAGCTCTTCTGAATGGAATGAAGTAGATCCTGATGAGAAGGATGAATTGCAACTGAAGATGGAAGATGGTGAATTCTGGTAAGTTCTGAGAAAATTCTGTGTGCTGTACACTAGGCATGTATCTTAATCACTCCTTGGCAGTATACAAGACTAAATAATTGCCTCTTAAAATATCTTTGTGTTAGAACCACTAATACAGCAGAGGAAACCAGCATAGCTACTGAATTGTTTTCATTTCCAAACAAGGCACCCACTTTGCTGCCTTCTCCAGAAGAACAAAGTTCTCCAAGTAAAAAAGAATTGAAATAAAGAATAACTGAGCACAGAAAACAGCATAAAAGCCACAGAATGCCTGCATTGAAGCTTGTTCCAGAGAAGCACCTAACACAAATATTAAAAATGTCAATACTGCAGTATCAAATATAAGCACCAGCTGACTGCAAGAAACAAAGCAGCTGATATAAAATACAGTATAGCTGCAATTATAACTGAACCCCTAGGATAGAAAATCGACAGAGAAGAAAAAAATACCAATTAATGCACTACCAAAATGGAAGATCTGGACTGGAAAATAAAATCAGCATGCCAAGATCAGATGCAAGCAAACTAGAACAGATGAAAGAAAAGAAGTTGAAGAATAAGAAGCTCAAAGCAGTACCGCCTAGAAACAAGGAAGTACCAGAAAAAAATAAAACAGCAAATAACAGTCATAGCGAAGAAAATCAGTAGATACAAAGTTGGAATTGCACATTATAAACAGAATCTACAGTTTCAGTCAAATCAGAAATGTTTTTACCAATCCATCTATGAAGAGAACGTACCATTGAAGCCAAAAAGAAACAACTTGTGATAACACTATTACAGGGCAAGAAAGATGTAGAATTGATCAGCACCAGATAAAGAACAGCATGGTTTTTGGTTGAAACATCTGATTGGTTAACAACTGGCAAATCTACTTAACAATGAAAGATCCAATAAAATGGGCAGCACTGGGTAATTACAAGCCAATTACCTGCTTGCCAATAACTTTCAAATTGCTAACTGGTGTGATAGTAACAGCATCTATTGAAAACAATCTCTTTCCACCTGAGCAGAAAGGAAACTGACTAAAAAGATCTAGTTGACAAGATGATTTTAGAAAACTGCAAGAGAAGAAAGACCACCTTGAGTATAGCTTGTATTTATTACAATAAGGCATTCAATTCCCTGCCTCATAATTGGATAATCAATAATAATTGGATAATCAAGTGCCTAGAAATAACAGGAGTCAGTAGTAGTAAATGAACAAATTAAAGTGCTCGGAGGTTTTAGAAGTCAAACAGATAAGTACCTGCATCCCAGGCTTGTTGACAAAAAGGACAAAAATATCTGAATAGTGGATGTGGCAGTGCTTAAAGAAAACAGAATTGAAGACACTAGCAAAAATTACAAAATACAAATACCTGTAAATAGAAGTAGAACCTCTGTGGCAAAAGAAATCAAAGACAGTACCAATAATAATAGGCACCAGATGCAATCCCAAAACAACCTGAGCACATTTGAATACCATTGGTATTGGCAAAATCACCATCAGTCAATTGCAAAAGGCAATTTTACTTGGGATAGCTTACGTCCTGTGATGATGCTTTTAACACCAAACCACAACAGCTGCCTATTCCAGATTCTTGGGAAGACTTGATAGATGGATAAAAATGCCAAATTCGTCCCAAACATCTGGCTGACTGTACAACTAACCATAATGACAGTAAATGAGTTTTGCTGAAGGAAAATCAGAATTCAAAAGTGAACCCTGCCTCATTAGCTTTTTAATATTGAGAGCGTCTCCAGACATGTGGATGAAAGCAATCCTAATCTTGTACATATATTGGCCCAGTTTGATACTAAGCTGTTCAGAGTGATAGATATCAAAATTGATTGTGAAAAGCTCCAGGACCATCTTTTTAAAATAGGTAGAATGATCAGTAATAATAAATCGGTAAGAAAACTTGGATACTTACTGTGTAAAGAAAGACTAAAATGCTTGAAATTCTTTAATTTGGAATAAAGGCAACTTGATTAAAGTATATAAAATCAAACATAGCATGGGAAAAATAAATAGGGAATAATTTTTTCAGTGGAATCAGGTATCTGCATGGAAGGAAATTTAAAACAACTAAAAGAAATGCTGCTTCATACTGCATGCAAGTATCCTATTAAGCTTCCCAAAACCTATTGCAAGGGAATAATTTTGAAAGAAGTTATGTTTCTACTTCCTGCTTTCAAGCACCTAGGAGGCATCTGGTTGGCTAGTGTGAAAAAGCAAATGATGGACTAAGATGGGTTTTGACCTGGTCCAGCAGGACTATTATTACAGTTTTAGAGTAGTTGTACTGATTATTTTGTTCTGCTGTAAAGTATCACTGAGACCATCATACCTGCTTTTGATATTCTTACTATGTCTTGCTCCTTCAGGATGTCTTTTCGAGACTTTATGCGTGAATTTTCTAGACTTGAGATCTGTAATCTCACCCCAGATGCTCTGATAAACGATGAGACAAAGAAATGGCATACTACATTATTTGAGGGGGGCTGGCGACGGGGCAGTACTGCTGGAGGATGCAGAAACCATCCAGGTAATAGAGATTTTCTCTACTTACTCCACTATCTTCTCTGTCTCATACTTGATGGATTACTATACACTTCATCACATATAATTAGATTAAAAAGAGGGACCATCTTGAGCCTATTGAGAGGGTAGAAGTCTGAAAGTCAGCTCTCTTGTACGCCATTGATCTTTATTCCTTGACATGGCTTCTTCCTGGATCTTACTCATTTCAAGTGATGCTCTCTAGGTTTGGTGCTGAGATTCACTATACTTATCCATTTATCTTGCAGCTACGTTCTGGGTTAATCCACAATTCAAAATCAAGCTTTTAGAAGAAGATGATGACCCAGATGATGATGAAATAGCATGCAGCTTCTTAGTGGCTCTAATGCAAAAACATCGAAGAAAAGAGCGACGCGCTGGAGGAGACATGCACACCATTGGCTTTGCCGTCTATGAGGTAACACCAGATGGTTTTATGGTTTTCCTATTCTGCAGCAAAGCTTACACGAAACTTGTTCATAATCTATCTCTCTCTCTTTCTCTCTTCCCTCCTCCCCACAGGTTCCTGAAGAGGTATATCCTGAGCTCTACCAATTCATTATTTGAACTGTTTGTGATAGTGGAAAATGGCTGACTGAAATAGGCTGAGATGCAGATAGTCATCTCTCATAATTATTCCACAAAGCATTTGAAAAGGGTGCTTTTCTCTTACTTGAAACCATCATAATTTTCCCACAGTTACTTTGATGGCTACAGTGTGGGCTAATTAAAATACACAATGCTGTATATCTTCTGAAACTTAAAAGGGGTCAGTTGTTATTAAGGGGGCACAGAAGCCTGCCTCTAAAAATATGAATTGGGTATGTATGTACCTTTTTATTTCAAGAAAAGTGTTTTGACTTGTATCTTCTCCTTTATGCTTTTGAGTTGTGTGTGAGTGTGGCTATACACACAGGCATATATGATTGGTACCTTGATGGTTGGGCAGCTGTACAGAATACCTGAAATGCTTCTCTCCCAGGCCCAGGGCTTGCAAAGTGTTCACCTGAAGAAGGACTTCTTTCTGAGGAACCAGTCTCGAGCACGTTCAGAGACCTTTATCAACCTGCGAGAAGTGAGCAATCACATTCGCCTGCCACCTGGTGAATACATCATAGTTCCCTCCACCTTTGAGCCCAACAAAGAAGCAGACTTCATCCTGCGCGTCTTCACAGAGAAACAGTCAGACACGGAGTAAGTCTGTGCTTTGTGATCTTCCTCTAATATTATGGGGGATTTTTTTCCCCAAAGACCTATAAGTAACAGGCTTTGTTCCTTCTGTCTGAAAATCTCCTGGGGGTATTGGAGAAAAAAGAAGGTGCTGGTCACACAATAGCACAACAGACCTCAGTTTCATCTATCTCTGAATAGAAGGCAGTAGGAATAGAATGTTTCCCCTGTCTTCCCATTTTTACAAGAGCATTGGTGTCTCTAAGTATTCTTTCTTTTTTTTTAGGTTGCTTGATGATGAGATCTCTGCAGATCTACCAGATGAGGTGAAGTTGAACTACCGGGGGCATTATTTCTTTCATTGTTCTTGCCTTCTTCAATGCAGTATCTGCCCAAACGGCTTGGACTTGAGTTCTCATAATCTTCTTACATCATGGCATTGAAATTCAACCCACTTCACAGGCACAGGTTGAGAAAGAGCTGTTCTGTAGAGGGTTTTTGAAAGCCATAAGATTGGCAGGTGCTTTAAAACAAACTTGGTAACACTTGCTTCCAATTTGCATGTTTCCATACTTGGTTTACCTTTCCAAAAAACCTGAACACTCCCTTACTAATTAAAATAGGCTTGGGTAGAAAAAAAATAAGAAAGAACTGAAACAAGATGATCCCAGGTGATGATTGTAAGAAGGTTCTAAATTGGGGGTGTCAAACTCGCAATGTCACGTGACATGTTGCGATGTATCGCGACTCCCCATTGCTGGAGCTGGGGTGGGCGTGGTTTTGGCATGACGCATCCGGCCCGTGGCCGGCAGTTTTAACACCCCTGTTCTAAATTGACTTATGATAGAACATATCCTCAGTTTAAGTTTATACATAGATAGACATTTCTAGAAGATTCCAAGAATAGTTTAGCCTAAACATTGTTTTATCCAAGTATTGTTTAACGTAGAAGTATTCAAGTATTGCTTAATCCCCTGCAGCACCCATATAATCCACCAGCATTCCCCAGGATCCAACCTTGACCAAATAAGCCCTTTATCCTAATTTTATTCCTTTTAATTGAGAGGGGAAAAGAAGCTTTAAAGTGTCAATTTCTGTGATGCAATGTACACCTGCAGGAACAGAAGTGTTTGGGCAACACAAAGCTTTCCCAGAGAGAGAGCTGGATTAAGAGACTGCACAGTCCCGGGGGGGGGGGGAGTAGGAGAGGTTCAGGGTAACCACACCCTAGTATCTTTCAAGCTATATCTAGTAGCTTAGAAACTTATAGCTTTAGTTTGGCAAGATTTTGTCCATTAGGTGTAAGCAAAGAAATTGAGCTTGAATGGATCTCACTCTCTCATCCGAGCCCAGAGTTTCCCTTGCATTAAAGGGAATTCAGAATTGCTGTAGCTCTGCTGTCTGGAGAGCTTCCCTCCCCTTGGCTGTGTGGAGAATTTCCTGATATTTTGTTTTTCTTCTTAGCATTTCCCCCCAAGTGCAAGGTCTGGGGTTTTTTTTAGATCAACTTGCTCCAGTGGTTGCAAAAGGAATTAACCAATTGACTTGTCACCTGAATCTGAATATGTGAGCTGAGAAAAAGTGACTGGCCCCAAATCACCCAGTGGGCTTTCCATGTCTAAGGCAGTGATGACCAGGAATTAGGGGGCAGTATTAATTGTGAATACATAACAGATGGCCCCTCTCTCTTTGGTCACTTGCAGAGTCCTGGATGCAGGGTTAGGAAAGGACAGCAAGGACAACACCCAAAGTCCTAACCCACCCAAGAACATAACAATATCTTTAAGGAACACTCAAATGGGAACATGTTTAGTTACTTCTGCTTTCTCCCTTCTTATCTACAGTGTGCCAGACTTACTGGGTGCAATCTTTATCTTATGTGCGTCAGCTTTGCTGGATGGGTTGCTTATGTAATTATACAGAACAAATACAAGGATTTCTTGTCATTTGTCGCTCCCCTCATTTAGAGGAGTCCGTCTCTATTCAGCTGAATAAAAACATAAAACTTAAAGGCACGTTCTGGTTTCCTGTATTTCTTTAACCAGCAAAACCTCGGAACCTGCATACCAGCAGGACTAGAACTCGCAGGCTGCTGGTTTCTAGCCTGGAGCCTTAACCACTAGATCAAACTGGCTGTCTAACTAAACTCACATTTGAGGGACTTGAATTAATCATGGGACCATAGCCAGAGTATTGGGAAGTAAGGAGCATATAGATGAAGCAAGTTATTCTTTGTGCCTCCCACATTACACCTAATGTGCCCTTGCGCAAAAGTAGTATGTCGATGGCTTAATCAGGTCCTATTTTTTTTTTGTTTCCTCAGGAAGAAATATCTGAGGATGATGTAGATGAAAATTTCAGGAATATGTTCCAGCAGCTTGCAGGAGAAGTAAGTATTGTGCGTTAGCTTTCCTATGAATTCTGTCTTCTTCAGTTGTCGTATGGAGTGAGGAGTAGGGAAAATAGCAGCTACCGGTAGTTGCTTTGAGTAACATAATACTGAGCAGGCTTTGAGGCCATTGCCATTTAGGCCAATTTAGTAGAGGAAGCAATACAGGTAGTCCTTGACTGAAAACAGTTTGTTTAGTGACTGTTCAAAGTTACAACGGGACTAAAAAAGTGACTTATGACTATTTTTCATTGTTATGACTTTTGCAGCCTCCTCATGATCAAATTCAGATGCTTGGCAACTGGTTCATATTTATGACCATTGCTGTGTCCCAAGGTCATGTGTATCACATTTTGCAACCTTCTGACAAGCGAAGTCAATGGGGAAGCCAGATTCACTTAATACCCGGATTACTAACTTATCATTTGCAATGATTCACTTAACAACTGTGGCAAGAAAGGTCATAAAAATGGGACAAAGCTCACTTAACATATGTCTCGCTTAACAACTGAAATGTTGGGGTCAATTGTGGTCGTAAGTCGAGAACTACCTGTACACTTGAATCAAAGACCTCTTTGATATGATTGCCTTCAAGGTAATCTTCTCTGAGCCTAATTTGGTTCATAAGATATTGTGGGGATAAAGTGAGAGTTAAAAGCACATCTATATCATCAGAAGCTTGGAAAAGTAAAACAAATGTTTGATTAAAAATTCATATATCATGAAATAAATTTTTTAAGAGTGGTTGTCATTGGAATAAACTATATTGGCTGCAGAGTTCCACAATCAGAATTCCCATGATTGTATCCAATGTTACGATCTTTCTTAGTGGTGTTGCAGCCATCCCTTGACACACATTTGTAGACTGCCCTAGATAGTGTCAACATGTGAGAAATTATCAGTAATCTACTTTTTGATACCTTTGAACAATTATAAGCAACTAATTATCCATTCTCCATTATTCCAGGACATGGAAATCAGTGTTTTTGAACTCAAAACTATTTTGAATAGAGTCATTTCTAGACGTAAGTACTATTTAGTCACTCTCAGATTATCATATTGTTACATCTTCCTTTCCATATATGTATTCCAAGTGTTACTTTAGAAATAGCTTCCTCTGTAACTGGCTCTTTTTCTTCCATTGGCTAGACAAAGATCTGAAGACTGATGGATTCAGCATGGATTCTTGTCGCAACATGGTCAATCTGATGGATGTATCCTCTCTGCTATAAATGAGAGGGATTTCCTGGTCATAATAAAACAGACAAGCAAAATATATTCTATGTAGCCTATCCCATGTTAAGAAATACCTGGGCTTTTACATTATTCTGAATTGCAAATTATCCAAACCCATTTAAGTTAGTATATAGTTTATTTTGTCCCCATGTAAAGTTTGTCCAGGCTCATAAGTAGTCCAGAAAGAAATGTGTTAAAATAGTTTATGATACTATACTAGAGATTATACTCTGCTCACAAAAGTATTCATTCTAGCACCAGTAGTAAGTCTTTACAAATGTTATGGGTGGAGAGTTAGAGTTGGAGATTAATTACAGATCTCATTTGAGGGGAAAAAAATAATCTTATCTCTATTCTGTTACCTTGTTCAGTTTTTTTTTTCTTCCATAGGAGCACTGATGTAGGATCAAGGAAGCCAGAGTTGACCACAGGGTAGAAAAAAATTCTGAACAAATAAATGGAATTAAGCTAAGAGATGAAGCTACTTGTCATTATGTTGACCCAAGACTCCTCAGGGACAACCAAATGGCTTTGTGCACAAGCTTTAGCTAGGCATCACATTTGTCTCACCAATAATTACCTGCTGCTGTTCTATTTTTCCTCTGGTTTGAGAAGAGCCTGTTGAAGTAATAACTCCAGACTTTAACTTAATTGTCTAGATCAGCATATATAGTCAATTGCATTCTAAGATACCAATATACAACTTTAGAAATAGTATGAAAGAGCAGATTTTTTGTGTGTTTATTGGGTGAACATGGAAAACCTGGAATCCTGCCAAGATTATTTATGGGTTCTGTATCCCTGTTTTGGACGTCATAAACAGGAAGAGCACTATTTCCCCATCAATTTACCAATATTTCCCCAGACTTTCAGATTATAGGCCGTTCTTTTTACATTTTGAAGTTCCCTCCTTGACTGTTCTGCTCTTCAGAAAGATGGCAGTGCTCGTCTGGGTCTTATAGAATTTCAGATTTTGTGGAACAAAATCAGGAACTGGCTGGTAAGAGAGATGTTGTATATGCGTGTGGTCACAGCTTTTGGTGGAAGGAAGGTGTTTAAAGATGATGAGAGTACAGGAAAAGAAATCTTAACCACCTTTTTTGGTTTTTGGTTTTTGGCAGAATGTATTTCGCCAGCATGACCTGGATAAATCAGGAACTATGAGCTCTTATGAGATGCGTCTGGCCTTGGAATCAGTTGGTAAGTCTGGAAGGGATGGTTAGAAAATGTGAATTGGTAGTTCTAGGAATCTTTATCAGCTGAAGAGAAGGACATGTTAATTATGACATGTTAATTTGAATTTTAATTTAGGCTGAATAATGGATTTGCTCAATTGTTCTGTTATTTCCTGCAAATACAATCGATGGAGGGTGAAAGGAGAATGAAATCCCTTTCTCAGGCATGGAAAATAAGGCTAATGAATAATATGGGTTGGGTTCCAGGCTCATAGATTGGCTATGAGAACTTTGGAAGGTACTTAGCCACTGATGCTAATTCTACTTTCACATTCTGATTTGGATATCTCTGAATTTGAGAACATTAATGAGAATAGCAGTTCTATGATGAATAAAAAATATGTTATTCGTGTTGTTGAACTTACCATGCAAAGCTCTAGAATCGCCCAATTCTTTTACATAGTTTGGAAACAAAAGAAATAAAATAAGTATTGCACTATGCCTGTGGAGCGTCTCCTGCCCTTGACTATACAACTTTTTAAGGAAAAAGCCTTGAGCATTCAGATACCTCTAAGTATGGGGTGTGGCTTCGCCTTTCCTCTTCTTATCTCCAGTAAGTGCCAAGACTTAGTTGTCCTTAGCTGTGGGCTTGGTCCTCCAGATTCTATTTTTACCTAGACATGAACCAGAAGAGAATTTTAAGCTCCTCTAATTCTGAGGATGGTGCCTTGAGAGTTCAAGTTCCCAGTCAGCATGTCCTAATCTCTTATAGCTAATCTAACAATTGCTTGTTCATTTAAGTGAAAGGGACTCCTTTCTATAACTCAGTCTTGTTCCTCCAAGGGAAATCTCACTTAATAATATAACTTACAGTGCATTATTAGAGTGTTTTTCCTGGAGGAGCAAACTAGACACATCCTTTCCCTTCCATTGTGCATTTAAGATATGATTTTTCTAAGAAAGATTCTTGGGGAAAACATCTATCCTGGAGTCTCTCTTTACTCTCTCCAAGGAGTATTTGCTTTTGTGGTAAAATAAAAAAACTCTAATATGACTTCTTGTTGTAAATACAAGCAGATCAATAAGTTGATATTTCCACTGCATTTCTTCCAAGCATGATAAGGTTTACCCTCCAGCCTCTAGCAGAAATTCATGGGTGAGGGGAATCCCCTCCAAGCATCATTTTTTAAATTTAGCAAGGACATCTCATAGCATCTGCTTCTGTATTATAAATATAGACATAATTTCAGCAACTAGGTGATTCCAGACTATTTCTATGAGCTTATACCTAATATTGTTCAACTTTCCAGAGTTTTTAAATCATTTCCTGAATCTGTTGTAGTACTTTCCATGACTTTCACACTGTCAGGATTAATGTTCCATTTTTACATCTGTAGGTTTTAAACTGGACAACAAGTTGCATCAAGTGATAGTGGCACGCTATGCTGACGAATCAATGGGTGTGGACTTTGATAACTTTGTCTGCTGCTTAATCAAGCTGGAAACTATGTTCAGTAAGTGCTTACAGTGAAGGGGCTGATAAGGCAGCCGTCTCCAGAGGCAATTAAAAACCCTCATTTTGTGTAGTTTCATCTCTAAGCGTGATGTGTGAATTTCTGCTTTATCCTTGCAGTATAGCAAAACAATTTGACTGTAAAAAAAAACAGCTCTGCTACACCAAGTCATTGAACTATGGAAGGAAGGAAAGAAGGAAGGGAGGGAGGGAGGGAGGGAGGGAGGAGGGAAGGGAAGTCCTATGGAGGTATAAATGAATTCTACAATCGGCTGACTATACAATTCATTTAAACCTCCAGGGGTGTTAATGTAGCATAGCCATTTTAGCTCCCCAGATGAAGCTCTGTCAAGCTACAGAGGTAAATTCGATCATTACCTGTAGAAAACCGGGACCTGAGTCTCCCGGCTTGGTTTCAGACCTCGTCCGGGGGCTGATTCATGAGTTGTCATATGAAGACACCAGACCAGGTTTCCTCGGGATGAGATCAGCCCAGAATAGTCTCTGGGGACCTCCTTTATTAGCAATCATCAAAGCAAATTGCAGGCAGAAGCGACAAGCAGGGGGGTGAGCCGGG